AGTCCCCTCCCAGTCCCTCCCAATCCCTCCCAATCCCCTCCCAGTGCCTCCCAATCCCCTCCCAGTCCCTCCCAGTCCCTCCCAGTGCCCCCCAGTGCCCCCAGTCTCACCTGGAGCAGGTGAAGAGGGAGCCGTTGACCCCCCCGAAGGTGGACAGGGCGACAGCGAGGGGCATCACCCAGGCCAGGGAGCCCAGAACCTTCTCCCCGAACGTCTGGGGGGGACAAAAACCCCTCAGGGAACCCCCAAAACCTCCCCAAAAACTCCCCAAAAACTCCCCAAAAACTCCCCAAAATCCCCAACATTTCCCCATTTTTTTCCCCCATTTTTACCCCAAATTTCCTGATTTTTTCCCAATTTTTTAACCCAATTTTTCCCCATTTTTCCCCCAAATTTCCTGATTTTTTCCTCATTTTTTGCCCCAATTTTTCTCCATTTTTACCCCAAATTTCCTGATTTTTTCCCAATTTTTAACCCAAATTTTCCCCCATTTTTCCCCAAATTTCCTGATTTTTTTCTGGATTTTTTAACCAAGTTTTTCCCCATTTTTACCCAAAATTTCCTGACTTTTCTCCCCATTTTCCCCCCAAATTTCCTGATTTTTTTCCCCCATTTTTCCTCAAATTTCCTGATTCTTACCCCAAATTTCCTGATTTTTACCCCAAATTTCCTGATTTTTACCCCAAATTTCCTGATTTTTCCCCAATTTTCCCCCATTTTTTCCCCATTTTTTGCCCCAATTTTCCCCCATTTTTGCCCAAATTTCCTGATTTTTTCACAATTTTTAACCCCAATTTTTCCCCATTTTACCCCAAATTTCCTGATTTTTTTCTGGATTTTTTAACCGAGTTTTTCCCCATTTTTACCCAAAATTTCCTCATTTTTTTCCCCCATTTTTGCCCAAATTTCCTGATTTTTTTCTGGATTTTTTAACCGAGTTTTTCCCCATTTTTACCCCAAATTTCCTGATTTTTTCCCTCATTTTTTCCTCAAATTTCCTGATTTTTTCCCCAATTTTCCCCCATTTTTTCCCCATTTTTTGCCCCAATTTTTCCCCATTTTTACCCCAAATTTCCTGATTTTTTCACAATTTTTTAACCCAATTTTTTCCCCATTTTTCCCCAAATTTCCTGATTTTTTTCTGGATTTTTTAACCCAATTTTTCCTCATTTTTTTCCCCAAATTTCCTCATTTTTTCCCCATTTTTACCCCATTTTTACCCAAAATTTCCTGGTTTTTTCCCCATTTTTACTCCAAATTTCCTGATTTTTTTCCTGATTTCCCCCCATTTTTTGTCCCAATTTTTCCCCCATTTTTCCCCAAATTTCCTGATTTTTTCTGGATTTTTTAACCCAATTTTTCCCCATTTTTACCCAAAATTTCCTGATTTTTCCCCCCATTTTTCCCCCTAATTTTACCCCATTTTTACCCCAAATTTCATGATTTTTCTCCCCATTTTTACCCCTAATTTTTCCCCATTTTTCCCCATTTTTCCCCCAAATTTCCTCTTTTTTTTCTCCCATTTTTCCCCAAACTTCCTGATTTTTCCCAGATTTTTTAACCCAATTTTTCCCCATTTTTACCCCAAATTTCCTGATTTTTTCCCCCATTATCCCCCAATTTTTGCTCATTTTTACCCCAAATTCCCTCATTTTTCTCCCATTTTTTAACCCATTTTTGCCTCAATTTTTCCCCATTTTTACCCCAAATTTCCTCATTTTTCCCCCAATTTTCCCCCATTTTCCCCATTTTTACCCAAATTTTCTGGGTTTTTTTTCCCAATTTTTTAACACAATTTTTCCCCATTTTTGCCCAAATCCCCCCAAAATTCCCCCAAACCCCCCCCAAAATCCACCCGATTTTTTTCGGAATTTCGCCCGAATTTGCCCAAAATCGCCCGTTTTCGCCCCAAATCACTCACCACGGCCACGGCCTGGGGCTGGAGCAGCTCGTGGGGCTTCGTGGCCACCAGATCAACCACGTTGGCCACCCCAAAATCCCCCGAATTTCACCCAAAACCCCCCCGAATTTTTTCGAATTTTCGCCCGAATTTGCCCAAAATCTCCTTTTTTCGCCCCAAATCGCTCACCACGGCCACGGCCTGGGGCTGGAGCAGCTCGTGGGGCTTCGTGGCCACCAGATCAACCACGTTGGCCACCCCAAAATCCCCCCAAATCCCCCCAAAACCCCCCGAAATCCACCCGATTTTTTTCGGAATTTCGCCCGAATTTGCCCAAAATCGCCCGTTTTCGCCCCAAATCACTCACCACGGCCACGGCCTGGGACTGGAGCAGCTCGTGGGGGCTCATGGCCGCCAGGTAGGCCACGTTGGCCGCCACGTAGAGGAAGGTGACCAGCGGGATGGACACAGCGATGGCCCGGGGAAGGTTCCTGGGGGGGAGGAGGGAAAAATGACCCAAAACGGCCCCAAATCAGCCCAAAAATCCCGGAAAAAACGAGCCCGAAAGGGTAAGAAACGACCCAGAAACGACCCCGGGAATGAGGCAAAAAACGGCCAAAAAAACGAGCGAAAGCGACCCCAAAAACGAGCCAAAAAGGGTAAAAAATGACCCTGAGAATGAGGCAAAAAATGGCCAAAAATGACCCCAAAAATGAGGCAAAAAGGGTAAAAAATGACCCAGAAAATGAGGCAAAAAATGGCCAGAAAATGACCAAAAATGACACCAAAAATGAGCCAAAAAGGGTAAAAAATGACCCTGAGAATGAGGCAAAAAATGGCCAAAAATGACCCCAAAAATGAGTCAAAAAGGGTAAAAAACGACCCTGAGAATGAGGCAAAAAATGGCCAAAAATGACCCCAAAAATGAGGCAAAAAGGGTAAAAAATGACCCTGAGAATGAGGCAAAAAATGGCCAAAAAATGACCAAAAATGACCCCAAAAACGGGTCAAAAAGGGTAAAAAACGACCCAGAAAATGAGGCAAAAAATGGCCAAAAAATGAGCAAAAATGAACCCAAAAACGAGCCAAAAATTGACCCCGAGAACGACCCAAAAAAGCACCAAAAATGAACCAAAAAGGGTAAAAAATGAGGCGGAAAATGAGTCAAAAAACGGCCAAAAAATGAGCGAAAACGACCCCAAAAATGAGCTAAAAAGGGTAAAAAATGAGGCGGAAAATGAGGCAAAAAATGGTCAAAAAATGAACAAAAACGAGCCCAAAAAGGAGCCAAAAATTGACTCCAAGAACGACCCAAAAAAGCACCAAAAATGAGCCAAAAAGGGTAAAAAACGACCCCAAACATGACCCAAAAATGAGCTAAAAAATTACTGGGAAATGACCCAAAAAATGACCCAAAAGGGGCCAAAAATGAGCCAAAAAATGACCAGAAATACCCTCAAAAAGTGACTTAAAAACGACCCCAAAAATGACTTAAAAATGACCCCAAAAATGACTTAAAAATGACGCAAAAATGACTTAAAAATGACCCCAAAATGACCCAAAAAGTGACTTAAAAACAACCCAAAAAATGACTTAAAAACGACCCAAAAAATGACTTAAAAACGACCCAAAAAATACTTAAAAACGACCCAAAAATGACTTAAAAAATGACTTAAAAAAAGACTTAAAAATGACCCAAAAAATGACCCAAAAAATGACTTAAAAATGACTTAAAAACGACCCAAAAATGACCCAAAAAATGACTTAAAAATGACCCAAAAAATGACTTAAAAATGACCCAAAAAACAACTAAAAATGACCCCAAAATGACCCAAAAAATGACTTAAAATGACCCAAAAAACGACTAAAAAACGACCCAAAAAATGACTCAAAAGTGAGCCAAAAATGACTTAAAAATGACCCAAAAAACGACTTAAAAGTGACCCAAAAAATGACTTAAAAAGACCCAAAAAATACTTAAAAACGACCCAAAAAATGACTTAAAAAATGACTTAAAAATGACCCAAAAAATGACCCAAAAAATGACCCAAAAAATGACTTAAAAATGACCCAAAAAACGACTAAAAAACGACCCAAAAAATGACTCAAAAGTGACCAAAAAATGACTTAAAAACTACCCAAAAAATGACTTAAAAACGACCCAAAAATGACTTAAAAATGACCAAAAAATGGCTTTAAAATGACCCAAAAAATGCCTTAAAAATGCCCCAAAAAATGCCTTAAAAACGACCCAAAAAATGCCTTAAAAATGACGCAAAAAATGCCTTAAAAACGACCCCGAAAACGCCTGAAAGTGCCCCAAAATGCCCCAAAGCCTGACCTGTGGGGTTCCACGAGCTCCTCGGTGACGTAGTTGAGGAAGTTCCACCCCCCGTAGGCGAAGGAGCCCTGGAGGCAGGCGAGGAACAGAGACCCCGCCCCCGGCTCCGCCCAGAACGAGAAGGCCCGCCCCGGCTGCAGCCAGGTGTGCTCACCTGGATGGGGGGAGAAAAGGGAAATTTTAGGGATTTTTGGGGATTTTTTCAGATTTTTTTTCGGATTTTTTTCAGATTTTTTCAGATTTTTTTCAGATTTTTTTCAGATTTTTTTCAGATTTTTTCAGATTTTTTTCAGATTTTTTTCAGATTTTTTCAGATTTTTTACAGATTTTTTTCGGATTTTTTTTGGATTTTTTTCAGATTTTTTTTCGATTTTTTTCAGATTTTTTTCAGATTTTTTTTCGATTTTTTTCAGATTTTTTTCAGATTTTTTTCAGATTTTTTCACATTTTTTTCAGATTTTTTTCACATTTTTTCAGATTTTTTTTCTAATTTTTTCAGATTTTTTTCAGATTTTTTTCTGATTTTTTTCTGATTTTTTTCGATTTTTTTCAGATTTTTTTCAGATTTTTTTTCGATTTTTTTCAGATTTTTTTCAGATTTTTTTCAGATTTTTTCACATTTTTTTCAGATTTTTTTCACATTTTTTTAGATTTTTTTTCTAATTTTTT